CACTCGACCTGCTCCGTCCGTACACGCTCTCGTTGCTGTCCTTCCCAGTCCGTTCCTCGCTTTCTCCCTCATTGCACTCAAGGTTCTTGGTCTGAAAAAAATAAAAATTCTCGCGCCGAATGGTCAACCAGCCTAGTTCAGCTCGTCGCCACCTGCTCCCTCCTCCTTTGATGGCGAAGCCAGGTTACTGAGGCAATACAGCTCCCTCTAGCAAACCTAGGGCCGTGTAGTGCCCGTCCACCTTTGTGCGAATCATCAAACACAGGGACGGCGTACAAAGTACGAGGGGCAACTCGGGTATTCCAGCCCCCAACTCGCTAGCGCCAAAGATCCGAGGAGGGGGAGAAGGCAAGTCCCATAGGTGAAACGGCCCGGTGGCATGGTTGATCTTGAGAAAACAAGATGAGCCATGATGCCGGTGTATACGATAGTCCCTGACTAAAGGACCAAATCTCGGCGTCACAGCTTATGGACGAGAGAATTGTTCAGGTGTCGCTCCGCTCATCGAAAACCAGGACGCAATTGGTGTGGGAAAGCTCACCACGGCAGCTCGATCTTCACTCCGGACTGTTGGGGTTGAGCTGAACGTTTGCTGCATCTCACACACACACACACACATACCCGCAGGACCAGCACGCAGTCGAAAGCACGCAACATCATAATTGACATACATTAATATATCCAGGGTCCCCCGTTCCGGGATGTAGGCACATGCCATCCCGAGGTGACTCAACTTGAAAAACATCTCAACTCCTGTGCCGTCTGAAGCAGGAGACAAATACTATTTATATTATCTCGCACAGACTACACCACCTTTAGCTGATCGGGGAAATATGCATTCTGTCTCTTTTGACACAAGGAAAATTTCCGAAAAAAATCAGGTAGAAGCACATCATCACCAAGTACTCTTCCCCTCCGCGGCCTGCTCCCCGGCCGGGGCCGAAATCGACCTTGTGAGTCCCTCGCGGGCGAACCAGGCCACAACAGATAGTAGGTGGGTGGTGTCCCAAGGTGCAACTCACCGCCGCGCTGGCTCAGCGTGGCGGTGAGGATGCACAGACGGTGGTAGTGGCGAGAGGTGTATGTGGACCTTGTCCCCGCGGCAGCAATGCAAAGCGGCAAACTGCACCTGGTAACCACCGTCGCGGAAAACGTGGCCCACGAAGCTGGAGGAGCAGAGAGATTCGTATAAACCACGCGAGTAAGCACCGTTCGCGGGAGAAGGGAGATAACAGCGGGCGACGCGGGGGGGGAGTGCTGCACCCTCCTCGTCCAAACACCACAGGCAAGCACCGAGCCCTGCAAAGATGGATCGATGCGAAGAAACTCGCCGCTCGGATTAAACGGAAGAAAACACCCCCCCAGCGCGAGGCGGACCGAGAGCGACAGGAGAT